CATTGAAGAAAGCAGCCAACTGCGTCACAAGACAAGCCCTCACTTGGAATCCTCAGGGCCAAAGGAAAAGAGGAAGAACAAGGAACACATTACGCCGGGAAATGGAGATAGGCATGAGGAAAATGAACAAGAATTGGATGGAACTAGAAAAGGACCATGACAGAGTGGGTTGGAGAATGCTGGTCGGCGGCCTATGCTCCATTGGGAGTAACAGGCGTAACTAAGTAGGTAATGGAGATAGCTTTTGAGTGTTGTAGGAGAATGTAATTAGGAACCGTCACAAGTAAGCTCACGATCTGTCGGTTGGAGTCTTTCTGCTGACACTGGTGATATATTTCTTGTGAGTGGTCACAAGGCAGTAGGATTCATAACTGGTCTCGAGTGGTACTGAACAGGGAGAGATACTGAATATTTCGAAAACTCAAATCTGGTGTCTATAAGTATGCCGAATACCTCATTTTTTCCTAAAATAACGACTGATAGTACTTTGTTTTGGTGTGTAAATAAAGTCCAGTTTGATACATCACTGTTAAGTTGTCCAACTTATCTTGTAATTATATATCATTTTTGTCTGGGTACCCAAGCGATAGGTCAAGGAAATATAAAAAATTAGCAATATATAAAGTTATCAAGAAAATTTATCCGGTTCGTCTAAATTTAAATGCAATTATCAGTAGTTTTACTTCCAACTAGACTAAATGGATGTATCTCTCCACAATACTATCATGCTATCTTACTCGACACATTCTTTCAGCTGTGTTGTGTCAACGTTTTATTTTGTAAATGATTTAAAATGTCAGATGTAGTCAAACTCCCGTTCTGTCATAGACGATAAAAATGGTATAAACTAGACTATGTCTCTGTATATCGCCAAGTCAAGCTGCGCTTTGAAAGATAGCTTAGTGACTCAAGTAAGCGACAACAGTTAACCCTGAAGATTAATGAAATGGGATGATAAATTAGTCTGATGGAGTAGTATATGAGACATTGGTACTGTAGGCGTATTTAAACATTCTGGGGAAAATCACAGTATTTATTCATATTTTCTTCAACTATAGAGCAATGAAACGTTTAAACTTAAGACGACATTTTATATCGATATCGCGAGTGATTGGCGTTTTGCTTTTGTTAGTGTTCTTTTGATCTCTAAAAATTCAACCCATTTAATTCTATACTAAATAATATTTAATTCGTCGATGCAAAAAACGAATCTGGAGTATTTTATTTATGAACCCATAACTAATCCACGAAGTTAGGTAGGTGGGTAGATATTATAATTATTGACCAGGTTATTCGTTCGTCTCAGTTTTGCTACGGGATTTGTTTATGAATTCGGTTGTCATTAGACTAATCTTGGTTGAAATTCTGAGTTAGATTTATGAATCTATTTGTCAGCGTACCATACCAAGTTGAATGTTTATATCTTAATTTTACGGAGGTTAAGTAAGAATAACTCCGAAATAAACTTGGTGATGTGTAAGCTCTTGCTAATGAAGTGGGTATTTTTAGAGAAGTAAGTGGGCGAATGTGTCGCTTAAGTCTACATTTTTGATAGCGTTTGTATTTATATTACTAGATGATACAAACGAGCTATTTTGTTTCATATATGTGATTACTTAATTTGTTGTGCTATCAAAGATCAAAGTATCAATATGCTATCTAGTGAATTGACCTCAAATGAACTTATTCGCTTTCAGAGAGCATACTGTAATGTTACTTTATGGTCTTTAAGAGACCTTCAAATGTAATACTTCTATTTTAGTTTTATATTTATCTAAAGATTTTTTAGATATTTTGCTATTCTTTCCATTCTAGTTACAAGCACTATGAGTCAGGCAGAATGGTTGGAGTTGGAAAGCGACCCTGGGTTATTTACTTTACTTTTGGAAGATTTTGGAGTCCAAGGAGTTCAAGTGGAGGAAATTTATGACTTGTCTAAACCTATCACTGAAATTGTTTACGGCTTTATATTTTTATTTCATTGGAACAAAGCCAAGAAGAAGGTAAGATAAGCTACTTGACTGATGTTTTCCTGATTGTTTCACTATGTATACATATATACTTCGTAATACATATTACTTTAAGATTGATTAAATTCCTTGGATTACTAAATTATTTAAATCGAATGGCTTGAAGTTAATCATAATTTAATTTCGACAGATTCAAAGCCTTCGATTCGTAAGACAGTTATGATGTTCAGATATTTTAATTTCTATTACCAACCCTTCCTCACTAGCTCCAACTTATTTTTCTCATGCAGCCACTGTCGACATTTCAAACATAAGAAAGGCCGTTCTTTAGCTTTTAAAATAACAGAATTACGTCTTAAAGCTTTAAATTCTCGGACTATCTTTCAAATCAGGTAATAGACTCCAATAATAAAACCATAAGAATTATCACGTTTTAGAGCATAACTTGTCAGCATGGTTAACCTACGTGCTTTTCCTTATGGGTATTTGGAGTTTTAACAGCATTTTCTCTCGAATCAGAATGGATACGATTTTTAAAACCATACGTTGCCGCTAGCTGCAACTTGAAATAACCAAACAATAAGTTCTACCGAAAGCTTTTAATCCCGTAGGAATAACTGGATACTCAGATGTAGTCGTTGTAGCGAGTAAGCTTCACATTCAAACTAGTGGACTAGATTATGCGAAAAGGTGGTTGTGTTTTAAAAAAAATGAATTCCCTCCTAATGGTAACACTTTTCTGAAACAGTGCTCTGACAACCACGTATTTCTGGTAAGTACCATCTTCAGGCATGATGAGAGATATTGTCTAATCTATTAACCATTATCGGCATCAAAGTAACAGTGGATGAGAAAGTCTAATATGTCATAACTCTTTAGCATACAGTTGGAACAGTGTAACGGCCTCATTTACATAAAGTCTGGTTTACCTCCACTCTGCCATACAAACAGTGGTAAGGACTGTTGACAGCCTTTAACAGAAAGCTAGAGAACACTAACACACCTCCACGGCCTCTGCGTCAATGAATACTTGAGAACGTTCCTCAAATGGCTCCATAGGGAAGGGAGTTTAAACCTCGACTAGCAAAAGTCTACGCTATTGTCTTAAGCAGTAGTGAAAAATGAAAGAAAAGGGATGAAATATGTAGAATTGGTGGATTACAGTAGTCACTTGCAAACTGTACAATAACACATTTAACGGAAATCCTAGTAATTACTCGTTAGACGTCCTAACTTGTAACTCAAGTTTTATCTAGTATTGTTTACTAACCACCCTAGGAACAAATAGCAAGCACTATACCTTTCTTAGTTTAAATGACGGATTGATCTTAGCTAGATTACTAGTGCAAACTATGGAACACTAGTCAGGTGCTTCATACTAGTGTAGGATACAGCCAGGACCAGTTCGTGATTTAAACTATGAGCTACAATTTGTACAAAATCTCTTATACTAGACCTTTCTATAGGTTCCGATCAGCCTACTATTATTGTATCTTTACCTAAATAAGTACTTACCTGTAAATTTGATAATAGTTGCCATTGTTTCGAATGCAGTTGTCTTAGAATTATAAGCAGTTTTTACATTTTTATTGTTTATTAAAAGGAATAACTGTATATACGCTTGGATTTTATGTAATCATTATTAAATTGCTGTTTTAAATCGATAATCACAGTTTTATTTTATTTTGATTTCCGTGGATTTTTTTGGCATTGAAGCCGAGCGATGGTTTAATGTTATTTCCTTCGTGATGATGTCACTCATCGACCAAGTACAAACTCTTGTACCTGGCTTTTGGCCACACTTTGTGTTAAGGCTGTTTATACCATCTGGCTGCCCAAACCGAAGTAGGTGGAACCAAAGTCTCACTCTCAACCATCTAGTGGTTAAAAGTCACTGCCCCTCTGCTTTCCTTATATTCATAACCTAAATCAATTTACATTACGAACTATGATTAATGTGACTGGTTTAATTCAGTTTAATGATCATGTGCTGTATGTACTAATAAGCAGCCTAATTCTTCTTGTTCAGGTGCAACACTGATAATTATTTGTACGCATATATATATATATATATATATATATATATATTGAATATGTTAACAGATAAGTCCTTAAACTATTGTTTGTGCCACGTGGAAGTACTTTTTATACCTTTGACATATGCTTCATCTTCTGATAATCCTCCCTAGATGAAAGTATCTGAGTAATAGTTAGTCGTTAAAAGCTAACTTTCGACTATAAGTACACTCGTCATTTAGTTATTGGATCTCAATGTTTCAAGATTAATAGTTTGATAGTTGAAGTTGATTACAATAGTGAGAATATTTGGTAAATAAAGAAGGAACGAATTGAGCGAAGAAATTTCTTTTCAATTAGTTTTTCATCATGGCTCTACACTAATATATATATGATTTACAATAATGATGTAATAGTCATCGAGTGGATACGTTACGTAACAATTACATAATGACATTTAAATTAACATTGAGTAATTGGAAGAAAGAGGATTATTAATATTCAAAGTAATCAAGAAGTTGCTACGTTGCGTAATATATGAAAAAGAGAAGGAACAGAATTTCTTAATGGATGGTCAATAGAATAGTAGTTACGTAAGAATCAAAAGATGAATGTCGAGAAATTATAAAGTTCAAAAACAACAAAATTGCAAAAATTAAAAAAAACCAAATGGAAGAAGTGTGAAAAATAGTTCTGTTGAGTTAAATCTTATACCGATGGCCAAGGCAGCGAAAGTGGTTGTACAAATCTCTTTTGAATGCAAAGGTTAGATTTGTGAACATGGATTGCGATGGCTTCCGCAATGTGCAAAAGGTGCGCTCGTAAACCATGTGGCAAATTTGATGGGATATGGTAGATAACCTTAAAAGCTTTATTCAGTTCAACTTGATGGCCTGTGTCAACCAAGTGAGAGAGAATAGAACTTTTAATCACTTTTACCTGTTCTTTGTTTAACCACAACGGATGATGCTCTGTAATACGATGACGAACTTGCCGAATTGTACGCCCTATATAACTGGCTCCACAGGAGCAGTTGAACCAATAGATACACATGAATTTGGCGAATTCAGGCAGTCTGTCTTTATTGGTAATTCTTATTTCGGGGTGGTTGTAGAAGATAGCATTTAATCTGGCTGCATTAAATGTTTTCTGTACAGCTCTTCTTAGTTTCTGAGTCACGATTTCTTCAGTGGTGTCATTTATGAATTTTAATTTTATGAACAGTACTTTCTTAGGGACGGTAGGTATCTTTGCCCTTGTTTTCATCTCCATCATGTGCTTGTCGATGAATTTTATAGGGTACCCATTCATACTAAGTAAGTTCCAAATATTAAGCAGTTTATCCTCAATGGTGTCTTTCGAGCAAATCATTCTGGCACGATGAGTCAAGATCTTTATGGCGACCGTCTGTTGCAACTATGCTCAGGTAACCATCTATTTATGGTAAACGCCAAGTTTAAACATAGGGAGAAGCATAGTCTGACGTGGAAACTTCCACAATCGACTCATTGATGGACTCAAATATATCATATTGCCATTAGCCGTCGTTGAAAGGTCTCGATAGAAGACTATCTCTCATTCTGGAGCACACTTTTAGACTCGGACCATGCTATATTTTGAGCACGTATTTGTCTGCATCCTACTGGACATAGAAAACTCACAGCAAGGGAACCCCTTTGCATTTAACTTAATGATGACAAGGTTGAGAGTATATTTCAGGAACAACTAGAGAGAGAGAGTTAGTCAACCGTGAGAGTGATATCCATCCCGACATAGCTTACTATGATGTCCGAAAGGCTGTGGAAATAACAGTGATTTCAGTGGTGTCTACAGAACTGATAGGTGCTCGGAAACTCATCCCGTTTGGCTCAGAACACGATGAGGAGCGGGGAAAGGTTAAACATAGGTTGATTAAAAAAGCTACACAATGGTCGTAAGCAGTGGTAGATAGCGAAAGCAAGAGATAGGGGAAAGACAAGAGGTAACAGAAGACAACTGTTCATACTTATCAAGTAAACGGGCATTAGGAATACGACTGTTGGTGGAACTATCTCGAAAAAAAGAGGGGCTATTATTCACTCCTTTACAATTCTTCTTGCTTATTTCAGCTCACCGTGCTAAAGTGGTATGGTAATTTGGTTTTAAGCATATTTTTACTAGACTCTATTTACCTTTATATTCTTATACAACTTTTAATGGAAAATATTTAAGGTATCACTAATATTCTATACGGACATATATGAATGGTTATCACCAGAGAAGCTGGATTGTTAAATGAATCCGCTTAGGTGTTGATGAATCCTAGAGACAATTGACTGAAAAAAAGAGACTTATCCATGTAGAAAATAATCACTTGTATGGAGAAAAAAGAAACAAAATAAGATGAATAGATTATTAAACACCATCTAAACTTTATGGTTGAAATCTCAGGTTTACAAATCTTCATCTCAGTGTACTATGTTTAATATTTAGTATGATTTTTATTTTGGATTATTGTAAAATTAATGTCATAATACATTTTTATATCTGTTTTGAATAATTCTTAGCCATGCCGCCGTACTGGAAGGAGTTCGACCGGTTCGGTAACAAATACAATTTCTCCGAGTTCTTACACACCTGTTTCCATTTGTGATGTGCGATCAAATTCAGTTACACCGAAGACGGGAAATAATGGTTCTCGTCACCGTTCAGCATCTGGATCCTGCCAGGATATTATTACCACTCCAGAGTCCAGGTCTGCTGGTGAAATCTCAGAATGCAAGTCAATAACTCCTACTCCGGACAAAACAGAGATTTTCTTTGCTCACCAGGTTGTGCAAAATTCTTGTGCTACTCACGCCCTACTGAGTATTTTATTAAATAGACCTGAAATAAATATAGGACATATGTTAGCTGAATTTCAAAAAGCTACTCGTTATTTATCACCAGAAGCTAAAGGTCTTGCCATCGGAAGCATGCCACAACTTGCTCAGGCACATAATCGACATGCTGCAAAACCACTAACAGTTTGTAAGAACGAAACAATATCCAATTTGGAATTACCTGAACCAAGTCAAGCTGCAGCAACCGCAGCAGCAATCGCTAAGGCTAGTATAGGAACGGTGAATTGTGTGAATTCATCAGATTCAAGTCCTAGTCTCGCTACTACAACAGGATCTAACGTAACAGTTCCAGATACATTTCATTTTGTTTGTTATGTTCCTATTGGTGGGTTTTTATATGAACTAGATGGTCTTACATCTGAACCAATAAATCATGGTCCGTTAAAGAATCCAAATGATCAATTTGCTTGGACTGAACAGTGTGCTGATGTTTTGAAGGAACGTATGCAAGAAGTAAGTCGAAGTGCAATGAATGCTATTATATTAAGATATATTTTCTTAGCTGTTTCATTTCACATTACCTTTACAATGTTCTTAACATTTTATTTATCCTTTTCATAAACACAATAGTATAATGAAAAAAGAGAAATACAACTTATCAGTCCTTCTGCGTTATATTGTGTACCATATACAGCATGTTTGATTTTTTCTGTAATGCCCTTGGTACAGCCAAGGGTGGGGTAATATTCTCTTCTATTTTAGATTGTGTCAATTGTCTATTCTCTCTTATTCCCGTTTTGTGCTTTTATTTGCTAACTAGTACAGCAGCTGGTAGAAATTCTACCTTATCTAAGCTAGCTGAAATCACCGACTGACTAGTCGAAAGTTGAATGCTAATATTGAATATGATTTCTGAACCAACCTTTCTGAAACCACAACTTCTGCTCAAACTGACCTCCAACGTTCATACACTAATGTAGATCGGACAATAGAAAGTCTTAACATCGAAGTCTGTTGTCTAGGACCCAGATTGAAGACACTAGTAAAGTACTACACATTCACTCTCCATCTGTCAATTCAAAAAGCTTGCTATAAGTGCGTTTGTCTGGAGAGCCCTGTGGCATCTTCGTCTTGTTTAACTGGTGCCCCAGAGCAGAGGCAACACTAATCGACTGGATTCCCATTAGCAGTCGATTATGTGCTGTTAGATTAGAAAGCTTTATAAAAGTCAGAAGAAATCGATGTGAGAAACGATGTATTTCCGTTATCGCCTCTTAAACCATGAGAGATTGCAGCACCACTAGTCAAGAATGAGTTCTACCACCAGTTAAGTGATCTTCAGAAAGCGTGTTCGACATATATTGTAGTACTGGCCGGATATTTGGATGTGCAGATCGGGCATCTAGGCACAGAGGAGAGTCTCTTGGGTGGCCAATGAGAACTTGTTGGTCTCAGGTTTGATGAAAATGATCATCTCCTGCAACTGTATGCAAATTACTACATGTTTCTGGCCAACATTAACTATCGGCATAGACATCACAGATGTAACTAAACTATGCATATTCATGTTTCTATTATTATAAACTTTATTTGACCCAAAGACTATTATGGTACGATTTACCGTTCTTGAGTTATTCCAGTCTACTAATTACGATCTCATATTCACATTCACTTTTGGCCAGATCTTGTACAAATGCTGTTTTCTATTTCGTGGTGCGATGTTGTCTGTTTGGTTTGTATATAAACCTAGTATGTTTAAAGTATATGATTCATATCGCGGAGGCTGAGATAGGTATTTTGGACTCAACAGACAGGCTTAGGCAGGAAGTAGGACCAATAAGAACTCTAAATTACTCGTACGCGTTTATGCGTCATTTGTCCAGTCGATAAGTCACTGTTCTCTAACTGGCGGTATCATTACGTTATATATTAATAGGACACAAGGCCACAAGTTGTGACAGTACTACCTGGCATCCTCTTCCTGCAACTTATACCTGGACTTGAATTGATCACATCGTGATCAACTACCGCTGGTGTGATCGTGTATAAGACTGTTGCTCCTTTCAGAGTGCTTATCTGGATTCTGATCACGGCGTCATTTGAGCTGATCTTATCTTACCTTTCAGTGGCCAATAAATTCATCATTCTGAATGAACCGATGTAAGCAAATTGAATGTAGTTTCTGTTGCCACTTAATATCAAAGCGAACTAGATACCAACTCAATAGAAAGCATAGATGAGCACTGGCTGCATTTGCATGACCGTATAAAGATGGTGAGTAACGTCGTTTGCGGCTTCGCGAACTGTCCCGCCTATAAGGACTGGTTTTTTACAGTCTCTTTACTACTCCTGAAGGCACGTCAGTCTACTCCAGCTAATATCATGTTTAACAATAAACATAGATTCTTGCGCGAGGAAACTGAAAAGTCTGGTTGGTCGTGGCATGTTAACGAGATGAAGTCAGCAGCCGCGTCTGGTAATTGCCGAAAACTGTCTCAACTTATCATAGCCAGTGGGTGCAGGAAATATGGTATAAGTGAAACAATCTACAAGTTTGATGGGATGCCATTCAATTACATCCAACGATGCTCTGGACTATGGGGGTTCTTCGGGGAACAGTCCAGCTAATCTCCTGTCCCGGAACATCGTTTTGGTCGTAAATGTGTTGATCGTGTCTTTACCCCTTCCGGATGTAGAACAACAACATACTCATTGCAACCTAACAATTGTTGTGGTTGCTGATATCTGTGGCACCTTCGAATCGTTGGGCAGGACAGTGATATTGGGTTGTCTGTTGAAGAAGAGTGTGCTTGAGAAGTTTATTAACATTTTGAAGGCTCCGAGTGCAAACACCTTAGGGAAAGTGAAGGCATACAACCATTTCTCTCCATTTTTCCATTCAGTCAATGAAGTTCCAAAATCCCTCTTCAACTTTACCATCAGTGACGTTCTGCAAACAGCTTTGGTGGGAGTGGGTAATGGTGATGTGGATCTGTTATCGGGAGAAAGATTTCGACCTTGCGTGTGTGGATGATACTCCCTTACTGTACGATAATAGTCAAGGTATGCAAATTGCACTTAATCAGTCGTCAGTCAGTAATAACGTGGAACTTCGTACGTACGTACATCAGTTCGAGTTGCCTTACCACATTAGCACAGAGATGCAGTTATCGATTCAAATCTCGTAGTGGTAGAGGTAGTGAAAGTATAAGCAGTAATCGGAAAGATTAGGGTTTGAAGATGTTATTCAAGGAGTATAATCCAGTGAAACAAATTTGGAAAGAGAAAAAAAGGGACATGAAGAATTCGGAAGAACACAAAGAGTGGATGCACCTAAGCCATTGCCAATGATTTTGAGCCATGTCATTCAAGGTCTCTAACCATCGGTTGCTATCGTCTCGCGGATCCCAACCAGGTGGTCTGCACCTACCAACATGGCTCAGTCCACTTGTCAGTGACTTCATAGATTTGTACCATGTCGTCAATCAGTGTGGGTTGGTATGCCATATTCTTAGCACCGTCTAAGTGTAAAGTATTTTGACAAAACTGACAGGAGCCTCTACCTGCACTCACTCTTGGTATTGAGCAGTTAGAAGCAGTCGGGAATTTCGTGCATCTGGGTAGCTGTGTGAGTGTTTGTGGTGGCGTGAGTGATGAGATCAATTCATGTATGATGGAATCCAGAGTGGCTTATCCGAATCTGGCCGATCTTTGGTTCCGTCGTGGTGTTATTCTGCGTGCAAAAGGTCGGGTGTACAACGTACCCGTGAGAGCAGTTCTGCTCTGCTTTGAAAACCTGGCTTCTCCAAGTTGATGACGTTAAGTGACTCTTTGTCTTTTATCGTCGCTGTCTACTAAGAATTGTCAATATTTAGTGACAAGGCTATGTTAGTGGTGCGGAGGATCTGAACGTGTGTTCAGGGACAGTGAAGATAGTTCAACTTGTGTCACACTACCTTGAAACACGAACTTGGGTGACTTGGACATGTACTACGAATGTTGCCCCAGAGGATTCCATATTGTGCATTATGTACCGATACCAGGACTGGTTGGAAGAAGGGGGAGGTGGTCAGTCTATGATATGATGCTGTGATATGGAAGGAAGCTGTCGGTTCATCACAACTCCATGGATAGGATCCCAGACATAGTGCAACATGTTTACTTGAGACGTTAGCAGACTTGAATCAGAAATGAAGCTGATGGTGGTCCTACTTTAGATTTCTTTTATATTCTTTGCGAAAGTGGAAGTAATTTTGTTAACCGAAAAAATTCTTCCTGGTCATATTTTTTATCGGCACTGTCTTATTGTAAGGTATTCTCGTTTACATTTTATTTTTCATCAATTTATTTTGATTGCATTCTCTCTCCTTCAACTATATGTTTATAATCTCATTTTCTTTTGTGATGCATGTTTATTTTGGTACCTATTTGTACATATGTTGTTGTGTTTTAAGAACATAAACAAATTCTTTGTAATGGGATATATGATCTAATTTGTGAAAAGAGATATTATTTGGTAGCTGAAGAATTAAGTGATCGTAGTAAAATAATTGTATGTGCTGTAATAAGTTTTATTTATATGGACGTTCTGTATCTTAACATTTTTTTTTAGAGAAGATTCATTCGTTAGAAGTTCTATTATATTTAAACTATGCTTATACATGAATTTTGCGTATAGATTTTCTAGATATGTTTACTAGAATATTTTGGGATTACAAACAACTAGATATTTTGTCATGCGATTTATTTTTTGAAGGTTGTTTATGATGTGCTTAGAAGTCATTGATATCAATCATGCTAATAATGCTCTACCATACAGTGTTTTGTCATCGTCATTATACGCATATTGTCACAATTGATTTTTGTTTCAATACTTAAAATATACTTATGTATAAACTGAATGTAATTTTCTATTACTAGTAAAATACTGTTAATAGTGAAAATTTTCATTTGGAAATTTGGAAAAAATAAGAAATCGAGCAAAGAAATTTGTTTTCAATTAGTTTTCTTCATTGCTCTACACTAATAAATATGTGTATGATTTACAACAATGAAATAATAATACGTTACGTAATTCTTTAAACACCCAAATCAGATACTAACTCTTCACTACCTTTAATACTTTTGTGTAGATTCAAATAGAGGGATTTTAGCAACCAATTATGTTTAATGTTGCTCTTCGTAAAATCAGACACATCTATAAGAATCTGATTAACTGAGCCACTTGCAACTCAAGGAAAAAAAGTAAGAAGTCAGTAATTAAACTACTGAACATCATAGTCAATATATTAAACGAAACTAGGAAATTTTATATTAGGATTCACAGTTTTTGGAATAGTTTAACACTTAAAAACTAGGTTTTTATTTCATTTATGTACATATTGTTTAATCTTAAGACCAATAATGATTATACAACTGGTATCATGAAGACACTTTTGTTTTCAATAGACAATGCACTTGGATTTCGCAGATATTAATATGTAGAGTACATTCATATTCTTGGTGTTTTTATGATAAAAGACCATATGTTTTTAATCTATTTAATCATTTATCTGTATGATGTTTAACGTCGATAGAAATCGTATACGTCGCTTAAAAAAATCTATAACCTTTTTTATTTAAAATATAATTATATTTCCATAGATTTGATCACTTTTTATTCAATTCTTTGTTTTCAAACACCACCTTCGTGATCATAGCAAGATGTTCGGTATAATTTATTAGCTGTTGTACCAGATCGTCGTGTAGCGCTTACAAAACGTATGCAAATGTTAAAACGCAATCGTCAACTTATTCAAGATATTCTGTTCCGTATGTGTCAGTTTGATCATGCGTCCAAGTCGTTACATTGTTCTAATAGTAATAATATTACTGTTACTACTGCTACTGCTACTACTACCAATATTACGACTACTATTACTACCACTGTTTCTATCAATCATGAAAATCCACATAATCAATCTAATTGTCGTCATCATCTTCATTCTCATCTTATTCAAGAAAAATATAAATCAAGTCCATCTGAACATTTTATCAATGATGAAAACTGTGTACACCTGCCAAACTCATCACCATCTTTATATGTGGGAAAACAATATAACCCTCCATGCATAGAAAAATGTTCACCTACAAGCACAAATATGCATAATTGTATTAACAGTATTAATACCAATAATAACAATCTTGATAAAAACAAGTAGGTTTTTACTTCCTTACTATTAGAATAATTGCCTAATGAGCTTTCTAATTATTCTTACATTTGTTTTCAGAGAAAAGATATTTTTGTTGGATTTGTACTACACGCTTTTTTATTGAACTTATTCAGTGTATTTTATGTGCATTTTTTAACTGAATATAGGCAAATTATGTGAACAAACATTCACTGTCAACTGTTATTTGTTTTACTTTTTTTCCTCTTTCCAAATTTGTTTCACTGGATTATACTCCTTGAATAACATCTTCAAACCCTAATCTTTCCGATTACTGCTTATACTTTCACTACCTCTACCACTACGAGATTTGAATCGATAACTGCATCTCTGTGCTAATGTGGTAAGGTAACTCGAACTGATGTACGTACGTACGAAGTTCCACGTTATTACTGACTGACTGACTTTACTTTATTGAAGTATAGGCCAATCAACGGTATTTAGTTTGGTTGTGAAATTGAGTTGATTATTGTGAACTAATGCTTGCTACATAACTTACAACAGTAAACGTTTATAATGTATGTATATTGTTTCAAAACCTTATACACTATTTCGTGTATCAACAGTACGAAAAGGTATTTTGAAGAATCCAAAGGCAACCAAGAATCTTTTGGTTTTTTAGTAGCTATGATTTTTTATTATGTGTCCTGTTATCTTGTCTTGATAAACTGATTGAAAGGCATTATGTTCGAAATTTTCTACATGTACTTTGGTTTGCGTAGCCTCGTAGTATGTTATTAGCTTTTTGTGGTCCAATGTCTAACTCCAGTTGAACCGGAGAAACTATCGTTATTGATAATATACATATGTGTCTCTTCATCGACTTAGCGTGCTGCGTTATGTTCGTTGTCGGTGGGCTCACCACTGCAATTAGTCTGGACCTACCTACATAGCTCTGTCCAACAGTTAATGTCCTCATGTATTGATGCCATGTCTTAATTGGACCTTCCCTTAGCTATGTATTCTTTCACTGACCATCATCACGCGTTGAGGTAGTTGGTGGATGGGCTTACGTAATACATGTAACCATCCCACTCTATAAAGATTTACTACCTCCTCAGATGATTTCCCATCCTTACTTAATACTGTGCGTCTAACTTCAGAATTGCTAACCTGATGGTCTCAAAGTACACGAGGAATGGTTTGCAACGTCTATGATTAATAAATATCCTCTATTTTCGAAGGTCACTTTTCCCAGCTATAAAGTAGGATGAAGCTCACTACTGCACAGTATACTCGGCTTTCAGATTGCAGCGGAATATCACGGCAAGTTATCATAGGTCAGTCAAGCTTTCCTGATTCTTGTCGAAATTTCATCAGACATCAGCCCTTTTGGGCTGATGGGACTTCCGGGTCAAGCAATGTGGTCGATACACTCAACCACTTTACTCCCTATGATTAATACATACATTTTTATTTAGAGGGAGAGAACCGCATTCCAAACATGCTTGCATTGTTGCAAAGGACGATCGACATCTTTATCAATCAACTACGTCATCTGCACATTCTAAGTGAATAAGTGAATCTGGTAGGGGATCAATCCCCAACAAGTTGGACAACGAAAACGTTATCCCTATGACAGAGTTAAGTAAAAGTGGAAAAAAACGGACAACCCCGATGAACACCCTGAAGTGACTGATTTTTATTACAGTTCTCCATGCGCTCGGACTCGACCAGTAGTGTTCTAGTGGAGAGTTTGTACAAGGTTAATGTATTTCTTTGGTACGCTTTTCAACGATAAAGTTTGCGATAAGACCGATCGATTTTCAATTGAGATCACGAACCGATCAATGCTAGACCACTATTGAGAACCTGGAAGCACTGAACGGCTGTTTCGTCCCAATATGGGACTCTTCAACAATGCACACCTGCCATCCCTCACACGGGACTCGAACCCAGGACCTTGAGCCTTGTGCACGAACGCTTAACCTCTAGACCGCTGGACCGGCATCTAGTGGTGTTGATGTCTAGCTTCATATGTTCACTAGTGACTAGCTTCGAGAGGGAATTCTCAGAGTTCTAATGAGAAGCCGTGACCAGCGGAGTCCAATCCGTGCCAGGTAGAGACAGGTATCTACCTCAGACAATGGAAGACAGTTGCGCGATTGCGTAGATTGGTTGAATTTAGACATTAGCACCGTTGGATGCCGGCTCAGTGGTCTAGAGGTTAAGCGTCCAGTGCTTCCAGTTTTCAATGGTGATCTAACATTGATGGGTTCATGATCTCAATTAAAACTCAACGATCTTCACAACCCTATACTGATATTTAGTGATATATGGAGTCAAACATCAGCTTAAGGTCGAGAAATACGGTTATAAGGGTCCGATTCGGTTAGTATGTCTGTGTTTCGTAACCTGAAAGAAGGGTTAATATTCGATCTACGCATCGAAACCCGGGTCTCAGAGCAGCCTGGCTTTCTTGGGTTTGTTTTTCATGAGCTTCTGTCAAGCGTCGGTTCATTAAAGCTAGTGTTTTAGGTATCACAGTATTCCTCTGTGGTTATATTCTTACTTTAGATAAGGGATATATATTGAATGAGCAATTAAAACACATACTACATCGTGAAATGGTACTCTTAAAAAGTGTATAATTAGTGTAAAAGGAATTGAAGTAAAAGTCATATAAAATAACATAAATCGTTTGATATCATATGATGTTTTTTGTGTGTAAACAGTGGGACGTGTTTTCTACATTCTTTAAAAGGTAAATCATGATGAATGAGATAATCACAAATAATACCCATATTGGTCTATACAACATATTATTTGACTAATGTGGTTGGTAGTTTAGTCGTTTAAACCAGTTATGCAAAATTATACTTAAAACTGAATGTTTCTTCAAACTTTTATCACAATAATATACTGTTCTACATATTTCCATGAATGATTTTGTATGAATAAGTTGTTTTTAACAATATAATTCAAGTTTGAAGTGATTAGTGGGGTAACTTGAATCTGTTAAATAGCTAATGTAAATTTATCCATTTGTAGGATAGAAAATATTGTATACCCTTTTTTATTTTTGCAATTGTCTGTAATAATATTCTTGGATAATGTCATTGAAAAAAGTATTTTAGACGTTTATTTTTCTATTTTTTTAGACATGAATCATCTGATGACTTTGAGAATTCACGTTCCATCAAAACTCGTTCAGCGACACGTGCTGCCAAACAAACAATTTATGAGAACCACAACTATCCTGAGTCAGGACTAAGTAAATCAATACATCAAAAACATAATAATTCTCTATCTGGTACTATTTTAACTGATAGTATACATTCTCCTACCAATGATGATTACAGTACATTTTGTTTTTCATCTCGTAAACGTTCTTCCTATTCATCACCAAATGAACATAATGATCCAGACTGTTGGGACTGTCAACACAAAAAGCCTTATTTACATATGCCTCAACAGGATGATATCAATAATAATAATAATAATAATAATAATAATAATAATAATAATAATAATAATAATAATAATAATAATAATAATAATAATGGTGAAAATGGTTATAACTGTAATTCCCAATTAGAATATTCTCCGAATACAAATAAAATAAATAGAATTTTCGCTTCTTTCATTTCAAATAATTCACCTTTATCTCTTACCGTACTTCCTGAAACAATGTCTAGTACGGTTCGTAAGTCGAATATCAATAAAATTTCTCATTCAGTAGATGATTGTAAAGAATCAAAAGGGAATCTTCAAGAAATACAGGATTTAGAAAATGGTATGCCAAATGGAATTTCCATTAAACTACAAGAAAATTATTTTTATGATGTGAAGGATTTACATTCACTTGATCACAGTTCAGATCAGTTAACAAAAGTAAGTGCTTTGTGATGTTCTTTTTTGCGTATGATTATTACAAAGTCATTATTCATTAATGACATATTGAATGTAGTGTTTTTCAATGTGTGGTAAAAAAGTAGTCTGTGTGGACCAATCAGGTCAACACCAACATAGCAATCCCCTAAATTCCAGATTGATGGATAGAAAAATATAAAGACATTTACCAATTACTGAATTATCTTGGTGAGCTAAAAAAATGTGCAACAATGATATTTTGATTGAGTTATTTTTCTGGCAAGAATTAAGAATAAGAAGGAACAAGAAATAAGAATTAAAGCTGATATCACTGAACGACCACTATTTGCAAAAAGTTATAAATTTATGGATCAGCCATTTAATTGATATAGAAAATCAGAATCCGACGGAGAGCAGAGATCTAGTTGATTCTTTGTTGACTAGAACCAAAGTCTTCTTTGTTTCCCTCCCGGTTTGTTGTGTTAGAATCATTAAGACGAGACTAATTTATGGACGACCTTTGAACGAATCTTAAGCGACCTTGAGAAATATTAACCAATCAACAAACAGTCAGTATAGAGTAAAATATGTCATACAAAACCAAGGAAATAAAGTGGATACACTTCTTATATGTGGTTCAAAAACTTGTCAAGGTTAGAAAAAGTTTCAAAGGTTCTAAAATCCTAATGCATACAGTAGAGGAAATCATCCATACGGCTACAGAATAGTCGGCCTCTGGAGTCATGATAAAGTTTCAAATACTCTTTCAGCCTCGACCACATAGTTTCAATATTGTTTATGTGCACTCCGGTTGTTGAGTGCACAAAATGCTACTTGTGGAGATGACTTACCTCCGGCTCTTTTTAAAGATGGTGGTGACTTTTTGACTAAGGAATTGACGACGTTGTTTACAAAGGTTTGGGAACTAGAGAGTGTACCAACGTCATGGAATGAGTCGATAGTTGTCCCTATCTTTAAAAAGGGTTCACGTCGTTCCTGTAACAACTATCGGGGGATAAGTTTACTTCCGATTGCGTCCAAGCTATTGGCTTCCGTCATACTTCGTAGGTTGTTCAAAACCCGAGAAAGATTGACTCGCGAGGAGCAGGCTGGGTTTCGTTCTGGTCGAGGATGTATTGATCATATCTTCACCCTCCGCCAAATGTTAGAACACCGCCATACTTATCAAAGGCCAACAATCGTAGTGTTTCTTGACATCAGGGCTGCCTTCGATTCGTTGGACAGGACTGTTCTCTGGGATTGTCTATTGAAGAAGGGTGTGCCTGAGAAGTTTATTAACATCCTAAAAGCCCTATATAAAAACACCTCAGGCAGAGTGAGGGCATACAACCACCTCTCTCCATTGTTCCATTCGAGCAGTGGGGTTAGGCAGGGTTGCCCAATCTCACCATTCCTCTTCAACTTTGCCATCGATGACATTCTGGAAACAGCTCTGATGAATGTAAGTAATGGTGGTGTGGATCTGTTGCCTGGAGAAAGACTTCTCGACCTTGAGTATGCGGACGATATTGTCTTACTGTGCGATAATGCCCAAGGCATGCAATCCGCACTTAATCAGTTGGCAATCAGTGTCCGTAGGTATGGTATGTGCTTTGCACCTTCGAAGTGCAAAGTACTTCTACAAGACTGGCAGGATTCTAATCCTGTACTCACCCTGGACGGTGAGCAGATAGACGTAGTTGAGAAGTTCGTGTATCTGGGTAGCTGCATAAGTGCTGGTGGGGGTGTGAGTGATGAGATCAATGCACGAATAGTGAAAGCCAGAGCGGCTTATGCCAATCTGGGCCACCTTTGGCGCCTTCGTGATGTTAGTCTGGCTGTAAAAGGTCGGATCTACAACGCGTCGGTGAGAGCAGTTTTGCTCTATGCTTGTGAAACCTGGCCTCTCCGAGTTGAGGACGTTAGACGACTCTCTGTGTTCGATCATCGCTGTCTCCGAAGGATTGCTGACATTCAGTGGCAACACCATGTCAGTAATGCAGAGGTTCGGCATCGTGTGTTCGGGCACAGAGATGATAATCAATTGGTGTCACCATCTTGAAACACCGACTTCGGTGGCTTGGACATGTTCTCCGAATGTCGTCCCAGAGAATTCCACGTCGTGCATTATTTGCCGACTCTGGGACTGGTTGGAAGAAGCGGAGAGGTGGTCAGTGCATGACATGGTGTCGTGGCATGAAAGAAAGCTGCAAAGGACTGGCTTGTGTTGGTCCTTCACGACTCCCTGGTTGGGGTCTGAGAGATGGTGCTACACAGTGGCTAGAGACGTTATCAGATATGGCTCAGAATAGAAGCCAGTGGCGATCCTGCTGTAACCTTCTTTTACTTTCTTCATAAAAAGTGGTTGTGTCTCCTTACCTGAAAGATTTCTTCTGATTGTACCTTTCGTTCCGTCGTTACTACCACACTACCTTGCACCAATCTCTTCGTTATTGTTCTCTTTTTCTTTTGCGCTCCTTAGTTTTTTTTTCTATTTCTCTTCGAATTTTCATTGTTTTGTGTGGCGCATATATATTGGCGCTCTCTTGTACCAATATTCATGTGTTCAAATAAATAAATAAGTAAATAAATAAATAAATAAAAAGCCTATGTAGCAGTCTGTGAGCTCTCCAAACGTCCGTATATATTGTAGTACCTGTCTGCAGCCAATGTTACTGGTGCTTTTATTATCCAGTTCGTAATTTGCCGTAGGAATTATATGCGGGGTTTTCATCACGAACTGACATCAGCTATAATGCCAGAAATTTATTTAGCCAAATGTTTAGAAGGTTTTCGCGTTAAAGTCCGAGATCTATTATCTCATATCTGATTGATTCGTTCATAAATTGTAGTCTCGTTCTTTTATTGTTTTATAGTCGCTCGATTATCACGTTTTGTACAAAATTCCCTATGAACCGATCGTACGTTAGCATTGAGCACTGAAGTTGGTGCCGTAGCCTTGAAATCTCTAAAACGCCTCTGATTGACTCGTCCATAAATTAGAGTCTCGCCATCATTGATTTAGTGTCCGAAGTTGACCAAATAGACTTCATTATGGTTGTTCTAATAGTGTTCTTGTGTATTTTTTCCGATAAACTGGAACATGACAAACAATTTGAGATCAAGCAGGTTATAATATGCTTAACGCTCACAGTACATAGATAGTCACATTTCGTCAACAAGGTTTTCTGATTTATTATCTCACTATTTTTTTTAAAATAGATAGTTCAATTTATTGACGTATACTAGCATAAGGATGATGTCCTATAGCTTGTTTCCAATATTGTTTCTATTGAATTTTTAAGTAGTAATTTCGTTTTCTGTTTTATCCTGTTACTTACGATTTGTATTGAAAGTAGACGGCGAGACTATAATTTATAGACGACGAATCTTAAGTGACCCTTCGAAATTTCAGCCAGTTGGAAAGCAGTTGATACAGAGTAAGAATTTATGATGCGAAACCGAAAAATCGGAGTGGATACACTTTTTTTCAACATGATTTAAAAACGTGTCAGGCTAGAAAAAGACTCTGGGGTTCTGAAATCTTAATGCATACGGTACAGGAACTCATCCATGTGACTTCACAACAGTCGACCCCGGAGCCGTAATAACTTCGCAGAAATTCTTTTTGCCTCGACCGCATTGCTTCCATTCTATTGATGTTTACTCCTGTGATGGGGTCTGCAAAATGTTTCATGTGAAAGACGACATGATGCACGTAAAAAAGTCTAGATAGGCATCTATATTCCGTCCAGTCGTCTATGCTATTGTGGTACTCGGCTGCACATACTCCTCTATAATTGGTATCAGCGTCGTAGCCTGTCGGTTTCCGAGGTTTTGGAAATGTTGCTTTTGCGATGATCTATCTTATACACCAAAGATCTGCTAAGTATACTTAAGGAACTACTACTTACCCAGCCTTCTCTTGCGCTTCTTTTGAATTCAGGTTTCCTAATGATTGTTTCATCTATCTCTACGATCCTTCTGATTTTTTTATTTCACATATGTCTCTGCCGTACTCATACCATTGAAATACCGAAGCTTCGAAAACATCTGCAAATATTGCAGCCAGTGTTACTGGTGCTTTTATTATACTGTTTACAACAATCAGCATAACCTGTCTTAGTGTCAATCAGAATCGAGTAAAAAATCCCTTCTTGAAATCCGCTGTGAATCGATCGTACGTGTGCACTGGGTACTGAAATAGAGTCGTGACATTGAAATCGCTTACTTAGTTCTGATTGGCTCGTTTCACCAGAGTAGACTTAATTTTGAATCACCTTCATTACTTTATCGTTATTTATGTCTAAATGTAACCAACGTGTTTTCATCATAATTATTTACTTTCTATCATATAAATACAACTTGAGAATACTTGTAAATAATTACTGTAATTGAAGATTTTCTCATTATTTTTTAGGTAACATCTACATCTACAAGTTGTACAGAACTAAATTCTTGTAAAGTTAGTGAACCTACATACTGTAGTCGATCAACACTATTGGGCAGACAAAACATTCCATTAAAAGAACTTACTAAACCTTTAACTGTTGAAACAAAGTTATGGTGTGATATTACTTCAGAAAATCTAGATACAGGTGACTCGGAAACACCTGTTACAAATGACATATATCCTACAAATTCATCGATAACTTCAACTAATGAAATTTGTGGTACCGTTTTAGATTCACGTCCCCAAACACGAGCACTTACTAGAGCATCTTTAAAGCTAAATTCACTTAGTTCAGTACAAGCATCAACTGAAGAACGAATTTCGACCACAAAAATATCATCAGATAATGTACAATCAAATAAATCAGTACTGATGAATCATGAATCCAGTGTATATAATTCAGATGTATCAAACAAGTATCGTTCACCTACAGAAATTTCCCCAATGACTACAGACTTAGCTGAATGTAAGTTGTTTTATTGTTCTCAGTTTATCGTCACAAACTATGTGTATATAAATTCAATTTCCAATGGTCTAGATCATCTCACCGTTGATGAATTGACTGAATTTTAATCAATTTTAGTCGGCGTATGAATTTTTGGGTGTTTAAAGCGAAAGGTAATGGGTTTGAATTGGGGCGTGGACATCAACCCTAAAATCCTGGTACATCCAGCTGACGACTTCAAAACAGAATGAAACACACATCCTGGGCTCCACTGCTAGCCACATTCCATCTATTTTATATGCGCCCATAGGTTAAGATTTCTTATTGTGGTAATGTTTGTTATTCTCTCAATTATTATTTATACTCAAATATCTCAGAATAGTCTACTATACTGCTGCTATATGACATTTATGATAATGATAAAATAAAAGTGATGTTTTTTCTGCATACAAAATACGTTTAATTTAGTGAAACCGACTGATATATAAATGTTAATATTCTTAACCATGTATCGACTCAATTAGTAGTATCATATAGGCTTAAGTTTATTTTTGTTTTTATATTATTACTAGTAACAATGTAGTAATCATAATTAGAAAACAACAGTACTCGTATACAGATTCATACATAAATTCTAAATAATAAGTTGTGTTCTCAGCTTGAAATCGAAATAATCGGACAGTTAATTAATTTTTTGTGCCGGTGAAGGTCCTAATGTTATCAGGTTGATTGGTTCAATGATATGGAATATGTTGGGTAGAGTAAGAATAGTGCACAAGGAATAGTGATTGCTTCCACTCAGTACATCATCTCACTAAAACAACACCTATCCTTTGACTAAAGACTTTATTAGTCGAAAATACAACTCTATACATTTCCAACCGACATTAAATCAAAATTAAAGAATGGCTGGCTGAGATTAGTCAAACGAAGTAGTAGAATGAATCAGAACTTCAAATAAAGTATTAACTTGTAAAACAGTTGTATGAAGTGTTGACGTCTGTTCAGGCCGAAATTAAGAAATGTGTCATAATTGTAGTACCAGACAATGATCGTTCGGTTACAAGTCGATGTATGTATAGGATAGTCTGACAATTGAATATTAAACCATTGTTCAGCAAATATATGATTAAAATGCCTACCTGTGAATACTATTCGGATAGTACAAACCTCAGCCTTTGAACGGACTTGATTTAATCATTTGGTTTGAATTTATAACCAAAATGAAAGATTATTGTTAAAGATAATCGGATAATGGAATAACGTAGACATACTATACTATAACTCTACTAATCTAAAATTATAGTCAGTACTTACGATAAAGCTTCTTTTCAGAGTTCAAAAACAGTTTATTTCAGGTCAATCAGACATGTAATTGTTTGGTTTTGTATGTCTGTTCATAAAGTAACCATGATCTATGAAGAAGTAATAGTAATAAAATATTTTAATCGCTTAAGCTTATCTATTCATATAGTGAATAGTTTATCGCTGTGAAGAGAGTGAACCTTATTTTTTAATAGTATTATTGTAACATCTAAGGGATTTGTTAAACTATGTATGTAGTTACTGTTGTGTTATTTTTCAGCTTTCGTGTTAATTTATTGTTTCGGACGTTTTCTGTTTGTATATTTCACTTTTCTGTTTTATTATAAATTAGCCAACATTTCAATTTCATCCAGTGATATCGCTGGTTCAAATCGAGGATCAAAGTATCCAACAAGATCATCAACTCGAATGGATACTCTAGCTTCTCATAATTTAGCTCACCTTCGTTCAAATCCTGTTACTCTTCACAGTAATGCGAGTCCTTCAAAAGTTAGTAGAATCACTTCTTTTGAACAGACTTCTACGGTTCATTCCACTTCTAATGCTAATACTAATACTACAAATATTACTTCAACATACTTATCACCGTTTACGTATGATTACATGAAATTGAAGAATTCACCAAGTTTATATCCTCCACCTTTAAGTGTGGAAGAACTGAATATCCTACTACATAAAATAGATGAACAAATAAAACTATGCCTTAGTGCTTTGATTGAAGAAGAAGAGAAACGTCGATCTTATCGTATTGATGATGCTAGACGTATACACAATTATGAACCGTTTATACGAGCTTTTCTCACTGCCCTAGCTAGACATGGAATGTTAAAAGATCAAGTATTATCTGCAATGAAACTGAAACATACCCCTGTTATTAATCACAATCATATTTCATCTATACAAGTATCAGACAGTTGTAAAAGTCAAATGTAAAAAGTAATAATAATAATAACAGTAATAATAAATATGTATCTAATAAAATGCATACTGAACGCATTTACTCATTTACTAATAATTCTTCAATTAAAAGAGAACTTATCTTTCAAGTTCAATAATAAATAGATTAACTCGAGTTAGTCAATCTACAAGCAATAATATTCGTGTCTCTCATCACTATAACGCTTTGAAATATCGCAAGCTACGAAGGAGAAGAAGAATAAGAGATTCTATTAGGAATTCAAGATCGAGTTGTACCGGAAAGGATACAGGTGTAGTCGAATTAAAATCTCCGTTAGGTGAATCAACTGATTTAACATCATCTTATCGACCACCTGTGACTGATGAATCATTGTCATTTATGAATTCCTCTGGCTCTTGTAATTTACAGAGTGTTTTGACTAACTCTACAACTACACTTCAAGCACCAGTTGTATCTACACAAAGTAAAAACTCACGTGCAATACGAATCAATGTAAATCAGCAACATAGTGACGAAACTGGTGAATCTACTTTACAATGCCCATTACTTATTTCAAATAGTTTATGTACAGATAGTTGTCAAAAGTCATCTGTAACTATTGATGAGAATAGCATAGTTGAGGGTAGTTTGGCTTCTTCAGCTGTGTCATCAGTCACACTAGCATCCTGCTCATCATGTGGTTCATCTCCTCAATCATCCAATTCATCCCGGTCAACTAATCTTCGATCCAATTCTTCAGGTGTAAAATTAAGACAAATTAAATCAGATGATCGAGTCAATACTAGACGTTCTTTACGACCGCGTGTCTCTCGTGAACATGCTTTCACACAAGATGCAAATAATTCAGCTGACTCTTTTAGTGTCACATCAGAGGATCCGGATACAAACAATAGTGGAATTAATTTAAGAGATAGAACTACGAAGTCATCTTCACGTACACATAATGCTGACTGTACTAATTGCACTGTCACAGAATCATCTTCATCCAGTTCCCAACGATTTCGGAAACGACGTCTGCATCGATAGAATTTATGCAGTCATTTATATTGATCACTTCATCGTAATTGTCTTTCTATTTAGTCTTGGATACTTTGTCATAAATGCCCTTTTGTTACTGTGTGTATACATCGAAAATGTTTTTATTCTTATTAACTGTCAAGCTAATCTTTTGGAGAAAATATTCGGTCAGCCGTGAAAACAAGTCGTTTCCAGTGCTTGATTATTATCACTACTATTACAGGATTTTAAGTTAATTCTATTTTCTTGGTTCTTTTTTCTCTTATTGTCTATGTATATGCTGCATGAAATAGTATGGACGACGGATCCGACAGTATTTCTTTTACTCTTCTATTCCATTTTCTTGTTTATCTTCTTTTTTTTTAATCTCAGTTGTCCTCTTTTAAAATGTAGAGTTATCCACTACTTACTGTAGTAGATTTTTCGTTTCTTGTTATTTTTCAGCTCTTCTTAACCTATTTCTCATATTATACTTACAGCACAGTTATACTACTTATCAGTTTGACCTTGTAATCTGTAACTGGAAGCTTTTTATAAGCGCATTATATATATATACATCTATATGTATCTATATCAACCCATACGTTTCATTTATTCTATATTTTCTTGTTTGAATTTCCAGATTTTTTGTACATGTTAATCTCTTTTTTCCCATTATCATTGATACAATTTATTATTTTATTTCAAAAGTTAAAAGTTAATCTTCACGAAAGTGATAATTCCAACTGTATATATGTAGATGTTTGTACGTTTAACTGCATGTATACGTATATTTTACTGTATGGTGAAATAGATACATATGCACTCTTTCTTATCTCTTCAATATTAAGTAGGTTTCAAATGAATATAAATATTTGTATAGTTATTGGAATATGACCAAATACATCTCAAAATCAAAATCCATTTTTTTTTCACCTTATCAATCGTAAATTTTTATTTTTAAAGAAAAATAATTTTTCTGCTTTTCTATTTCTGTCGTTCTTTGTGAATTATGTCTCTGGTTAGTTAATTAAACCAGTGATAGAGAAAAAGTTTACAAGTTGTCATATATACATATATACGTCTATCTTTGTTAGTGCTCCAATTACTACTCTTCACTGCTACTGTTATCATAGTTAAGTAATATTAATATTTTTTTGCTTTTCTAAAGTGTTTATTTTTCTTTTGAAGAATAGTAATTAATTTGACATATGAATACTGATAATCACTATGACTATTGTCCTTATTGTGCAACATAAATTACTACATCATTCTACTGTATTACTGACTCACTCGTGGTTTCTATTCTCATGTTTTTATTTCATATTTTTCTTTTATCAAAAATTCGAAAGCAGCAAAATTAATTACTCATATATATATATACTCCTGTTTTTTTCTATTGTTCACGGGTTCGAGTATATTTGTTACTTCGGCGGAAAAATAACCAACCGTAGAATTCAGACTACAGTCATAAGGTGAAAGTGAGAACATACTACAAAATAAATGTAGTTTTATCGATGTCAGCAATAATAGCAACTGTAATTCCTTGTTCAGAAATTTGAAGAAACTTAAAGTTTACATAATCAATCATGCTTTTAAAACACATTTCAGAAATATTGTTCGTTCTTGGTAATCATAGTCAGTGAACTGTGTTAAGTTAATACTAGGAATTGTGTTAACTATTTAGTTAACTAGTCAACTCCAAGCGTTCTTGTGTAAATGCCACAATAAAACCTTAATATATTTGTAATATTCAGTATGTTAGTCTATTTTTTATGGTTCTCGATAAGTAAGCATGAAGTTGTAGTATTATACTGCCTAGCACTAAATCATGTATTCGTGTACGTGTAAAGATTTGGGAAGTAATTCGTGTTTTTCGTGATGAACCACTGGTTCATGTTCGAGATCTTCAATTATACTTGAATGTACATTAGGGTAGTACCGGTGCACAATACAAGATATATGAATAGAAATTTTTTAATTCAGAGAAAGACTTGAACTTAGTTCTCCTTTTAGTGACTATAAAATTGACTGGATATTTAGCATCACTGATTTATAGATAAATAGGACATCGATTGTATAACTATCAAATTGTTCCCCAGTTCAGTGTTTTATCACTATGAGTTTAAGAGAAAGGCGTATCATTGAAAACTATGGTTTTACGTATTAACCGTCAATGTTGCGGTAGATAAGTAGCTAAAATATTAACATGAGTATGGTCACGTATCATACTAAGATCGAATATTCTACTGACTTGTCATATCGGCTTCATTGACTGATAAAGTAACTCGGTTGACCAAAATGGCCGAATGAAACTGGTCACTAGTCCTAAAAGAACCATTGACTAACCAGTTGATTATATAATGGACCTAAAACCCGTCATATTCGAAATCAAGATTACTTACTACATGTCATTCTTGATGAATGAAAGTGGAGATCATAAGTGTATGGAAGACGTTAGATGTAAGGGTTCTTTTTTAAATTTCAGCTTTTTAAATCTGGATAATTCCAACGTCTCGCCCGGTAAACTGGTCTGAGCATCAGATAAATGATCGGAATTACCAAAGATAAATAAGTTCTACAACAAATCAGCAGCAAAATTACATTAGTTAGGAACAACGTCCACGGTTAACTTTGAAGAAGCCTAGGTGCGTCGTCAAGGTTCTGAGAGATCTTGATGTTTGAACAGAAATAGAATAGTGGTTGCTGGCTACGTCATGAGAGTTATTGGTCAGAAAATAAGAATATGGTCCCTTCCATCCATCCTCACCTCTACCGTCCGTGACATGACTCCAACAACAGACGTTCAATTATTTAGTCAGCTAAATTTGGATTTATCTTCAACCACTCTTAATTAACATCACGATATAGTACCTAACCTACAACCTTAGATACAATTCGACGGTGTAGTTTGTTAGTCTGCCAGAGTTTTCGCAAGAACTAAATGGTTTAAAATCATATTGATGCAACCAGTCAGAAGACCCTCACCTTATACAATCAGGAACTATTTAAATCAATACTTTTTAAATTTCAACTATACCTCAACATAAAATTAGATTCTGTATATTTACAGTCGTTTATTGATTTTAAATGAAATAATTATAAGGTTTCCTTAATTAGTTTTATTCTATCCATCATTTAGAGGCACTCTGAAGCCTACAAAAGTTATTCAATATCATAGATAAACAAAACATCCAATCATGAATGTGACTGGAATTTTAAATACTACGATAAGTCAATGAGGTCAGTCAGCTAAATGCGACGTAGAACGTGGTACGTATATACACCCGTTGTCATACTCCGTTAGCGCAGAGATGAATTTATTGGATTAAACCATACAGTGGTAGAGGTTTTAACAGTAGTGGTAATAGAAAAGACTAGGCATCGAGCCTTCAGATATATGAATTGAATAGTGTCCTTCGCTGTAGTCTTTTTGACTCCATGCCTAAGTAAATTAGGTTTTACATAAGGAGCTATCAGATTTTATCGTGATATAACGGAATAAACGAGGAAATCACATTTTCTTAACTCACTGTGATTCTTGTTCAAAATTACTTCCTTTTTTAGTTCAATAATATAATTACTTAATATTTGTTTTATTTTCGTTATGATATTTTGTACAGTATAACTTTGATTTACTTCAGTGTGATGTTTAATCTAGATAAGCTATTGCTTGTATAAATTTAACCTGAACTATGTTCGATACATAAATGAGTGTATTTTCGACAAAGGTCATCTTGTTTTCGATGTTCTTAATTGTAGTTGTTTCTCGTTTTCAAGTGTAAGTAATGGGTGACAGATATAACAGATTAGTTTATCGTAAGCTAAAACTGATATGATCCCATATATTCTTTACAAACAGTCACTTTTTAAATGAAATAAGCGATTCTTTCAAGAATTCTAAAGCATACATTGTTTTAATTTACATGTACGATGAATAATTATATACGAATTACTATTTCTTATACCTAGTTGAAAGCTATAAATATGCTTGATAAGCAATTTTTAAAGTATATTCACTACTGTGAAAAAATTAAGAGTATTTAAATGTATATATATTAATTAGTATACTTTATAATTATTTTGTTACATATTGTACTTATGAACAATATAATTATATATTTATATTTAATGATGATTGTGATCTGATTATCATTTGTAGCATTTCTTGAATTTATCATTCTATATATATTTTTTTCTGGATTGTTAGTTTGCATGAAATCAAATTTGAAAGAAAGGAATACTATTGTTCCGCATTTTTAATAACTAGTAATTTCTCAATCATTTTTTTTCTTCTCAAAAAGAATTGGAAATCTAAATAATATGTATAAAGTAATTTAAAAGTGAATTTGCATGTTTCTTAAAATAAATACATACGAAAACCTAGTAATATGAATACACAAAAAAGGATATACTTCAAGAGACGAAGAAAGTTTACACATTAGGACAAAAAATGAGATAAATAATCCTTGTTTTGTTTTTTTCTTTTTAATTTTAAAATTGAGTTGATCCCTGATGAACATTGTTTACCTAGTTTTAAAATTTAACATTGTATTATGTTCATAAAGTCTATGACAGATATTTTTTTTATCAGGTAAATTAATTATCGTCTTGGAAGTCTATTTGGTCGGCTACTTGTTAAATATTTTGATCCTACTGTATTGCGAATTTCTGTATTTCCGTTATCTGTTAGCCGACGTATATCACCGCTTGATAATGATGCTTTCAATGATAAATCACCTTGTCCTCCAGATTTGCGTTCTATTGAACGTCGGTTAGTAGATGATGTATTCAATGGAATTTCAGGGCGAATAGTTGTTGGAAATTTATTTGGATTATTTATTAATTGCTGTGGTCTATTTGCTTCTACTATCAATTGATCTTTAAGTGAGGCTAGCTGAAAAAACGAATGTATAAATGAAAATTTAAGAAAAGTATAAATTCAATTTTCGAACAAAAAAAATTCTCAACCGAATTAACCAAATGAAACATCAGCTTTTACATTCTAAAACTAAAACCGGATCAGATTGTAAATATTATTGTTATTATTATAAAA